CTATCCATGCGAGGTCTGGTTTTGTGATATCTAGTCATACAAATACAATATATATTTTTTTTTACCGCAGATGATATTCTAGGAAAAGTCGAAATTGTTCAATATCTAATGAGCTAAATTTTGAAGGAATCAAATTTCTTAAACCATTTGGTTTTTTTTAGTTTTATTGCTGTTAATATGCAGTAGTAATTATCTCTCTCTGCTCTTTCTCTTTGGATTTGAAGTTATCCTTTTCGGCAATCTTCAGTATTTGGCCAATAATTTGCCTAAGGTTTGTACACGTAAGATAGATGTCTAATGCCATTGGTAAGCGTAGAATATCGACTAAGCATGGATCGAACAGTTAAAAAAAACTTAAATATAAAATGGGGCAAATGCACATTCCCACTTAAGGAAAAAAGATATAAATACACCATGCTTAGGAGTTTATCCATGTTCTTATTGAAACTCAAAGGAACAAAATTTAAAAGATTTAAAGATGTTTTTTGCATTCATTGAAGACTATCATGCTGTTCTGCTGTGAAAACTGGAGAACATTTTATTGACCAAGCTTGCTTTTAACATTCGTTAATGATTCTTTCAAGTAACGTTTAGTTCGAAATTCGTATGAGACAAGGGAAGCAGTTACCTTCGAACATAGGGGAAAATGATCGATTCCTGCTAGAGCAACTTTTTAACACGCTTATCTTAATTATTTTGTAGCGTCTTATTTAAGCCTTTGAAACGATTTCAATTTCTAAAATTAAGAGCATTTAATGAACTTTATCCTGAAAAGAAGTTTTGTTTTAAAGATAATTCAGTGAAATATTGAGCATCCATGCGTCCATGGTAAATAGATTTACGAATGGCTACACAGCTAAAGACGAGAGTATTCTTTGTATAACATCGAAACTGATGATTTCGGTAGAATATTTAAAGATAAAAGACACAAAAAGGGCTTATCTTTATCATTTTTCATGGAACTCTGTGTCTGCAAAAGAAAGTTCCGCCAAAGTTATTGACATACCTATGAGCAAGCAAAACGCCAAAATTTATACCCGCTAAAGAAATCCGCTATACGGTATAACCTGTGGTCCATAATTAATTGCATTGTGTAAAGTTTATTGTGAATTGTGTAAGGATTATTAAGATGCAATAGTTATTTTATTTTAAATCTTAACATAGCATAATAAAGAGGGAAAAAACTTCTATAGTTAAAATCTTCTAACAAAACATAGTTAACACATTAACATCCTATAGACTAGCTCTGGTTGTTCCCATTACATTAATCATTTTGATCTTAGAATTTGAAGAAGTCCATTTCAAGAAAAACGAGACTCTTACACGTCTGTGGGGGGTGCTTGTCACCCGAATTCATTGAATTATTTAATTTAGATTTACTTTTATTACCACTTGTGTCTTCACAGCATTGATTTTCAGGATGTATGAGTAGGGAAGATTACTCTATTGTGATGTTTTGGATATCAAATTCATGATTGAAATAACCCATGCGAGAGAAAGACCATGCGCCGAGGCATAGCATTTGAGACACGAAGGCACTATAACTATCAAATCTTTGTGGTCTCTCAGAATAATTATTACAAGTTCGGTGACGTTCGATAGATTTACTTGGATACACTGGAAGTCAGAAAGTACGACGTTCCAAACTGGCTTTTTTTCATATAGATTGTGATTCCCAGCTTGGTTTTTTTGGAAAGGCAAGTGTAAAGAAAATGTATCAGTGTAGCTCACTTAAAAACCTCGCTTACTCATAGAAGGCAATAATATGGTTTTGTTGTAAATATTGAATAATTCATGTGTATAACACCATCATTGTGAGTGTTGCATTACCAGATCGTCTGCATGCAATACAATTTTTTAAATTATATTCGGAAAACGGATTTCGTCTGTTGGAAGATTATCCGCAAAATATCCTCATCCTTGTAGACAAGGATGCCATGAAACAATTATTTCTATCCAATCAGAGTCACTGATCATTAAAAATAAATGTTTTCAATGTGAGCTGACAGTATGAAAACATGATATTATGAAAAAATGAAAACATGATATTATGAATTATTTATTTTTTTGTATCATTTAAACGCTATGAATACTCATTACATATCTAATGCTGCATAGTTATTGCTTCTAGATATAGATACTTTATTGTAGAAAGAATTTTGTTTGCTTAATGTTTTTAATCATTTAACTGATAGTAGATTCTAAACTGGAATTCAATGACTGGATGTTGATAAAGGAATGAACAGGATATCATACTAGTATGTGAAATTTATATCCCCCAAATTTAGATCCCAGCTTCAGTTTTAATTTTAAAATATAAAAAAGCATCAAAATTTCCATTTCTAAATGCTGCTCGAGTATGAGTTAAATGTTTTTGAAGTTGCAAGTCAAATGGATTTTAATTAATTTAAAGTAATTTTACAGAAACAAATTCATGTTACTTTCTAACATGTAAGCAAAAAAATGTAAACTTCTCAAATGTATTTTTTAACGTTTAATTGATTCATGATATATTATATATATACGTTTCATACAGGCATAAATACGTGTGTATTTTTTTTTTTTTTTTAAAAATCAATAACACTTACTTGAGAAATGTGTTATTCGCGGATTCAATATCTGTAGCATAAACCCTGCCTCCTTTTCTCTTCAAAATGCAAACATTTCGAAATGGACAGTAATTTTAACGGTTACCTGTGCTTAAAACAATCTTTACCTTATTGAATCTCAGGAGGATTAAATTGAGTGTATATTGGTTGATCTGAATGCTTACGCTTCAGCTTATTTGCAGAAAACTAAATGGTGTTTGCATAGATGAAAAGGTGGCTGGATGCTAAAATCGTTAACTTCAGACACGTGCCTAAAACTAGTTAAACTTTCTGCAGTAACTGTTAGCATCAATTGTGCTTATTTTTAGTGATGATTTATAGAAATTTTAAAAAAATGTTTTGATTTTGGGAATTTTGTAGGTGAACACTTAACCATTTCTCAAACTACGTCTATTTCTGTTTCGTTCGAAATAGGTTTTCATGTTATTGTATAATTAACTTTAAATTTTTTTATGTGTTGGTTTTTGAAAATTACAGTTTTTGAAAGATTTTGTATTTAAAAAAAATACATTTTAAAGATACAATGGCTTAAATGACAGCGGACAGAAGTACTCAATGATAAATAAACATTAGATAAGTTATTTTCATATACTGTCTGACAGAAAAATAATACAGCTATCTATCTTGCAAATAAATTATCAAAGTATTGAATAATAAATCCTAATTTAATGTGGCAAAGGAGTCCCAGCTCCGGCAATAGAACAATGAACCGGTCTACAGTTGAATTATGCACTCGCTTTTCATCAGTTGTGTGTAGATTTTTTACGATCGTATTATCAAGTCTTGCACAGGCCTCCAGAATTCAGCAGGAAATTGTTACCATGTCTATAGGGAGTTATCTGCCAAAACATTACATTGTATTTTCTTGCCAATCATGAATTCAACAAACAGTAGCTTTAAGCATTGTTTTTGTAGCTTTGTATAATAACCATGCAATGAGGGACTGTTGTTATGATTTTGAAGTCGATTACAGATAAATATATTCATTCACGTTATTTTTTTCGATTGCTGTAGCTATCCAGTTGGCTCATTTTTTTTAAAGTATAAGATATAAATTGATGTTTCCAAAGAAATAAAATTTTCATTTCAGTTTTTGATGATCGAATCATTTCTAATCTAATATAATAACATGTATCTAACACAGAATGCATATCCTAATCCTTATTGTACTATTTTGGCTCCACTTTTTTCATCTTGTGTAATTGTTAATTCTGAACACAACATTAATTAGCAAAGTCAATTTTCATAATCACAAAACGTTTATTATCTTATGATAAATTAAGTACATTAGACTGCCAATTTTTGTAAGATTGTATGACTTGGTTTGGCTCTTATATATATTTATACGAGGGTTGATCCCAAAGCAATGTTACAACTGTTATAAAATCCTTAAGAATCAAATGTTAGCAACAAAATTAGACATGCTGACACCCCTATCTATTTTGATTTTTGCCTTAAAATTTCATTCGATTATATAAAATACTTTTTAAAATATTAAGATAAATACAAGTAAGGTTTTGTCTATCGCCACATGGCAAGAACGTTACCGACGTCGTTGTAATGTTACCTTTCGGCACTCATTTTCAGTTCATCCGCATGTCTTTTTAACCTCTAACGTACTTCTTTAAAATAATCTTTACTGCCATTTTGTTACATACCGTCTTGTTTTGAGGTTTAGTATTAAAATTATTTGTACTTTGTCCAAATGTTATTCCTTAATTCAATCCTTTTTGCGTAAATCTTATGTTTAATCAGATTCAAAATGATTGTCGAAGCGAAACGTCATAACGACGTCCGCACATTCTTGACGTGCGGCGATAGACGAGACCCAACGTTGTGTTCATTCAAATATTTTATAAAGTATTGCATATCTGAATGAAATTTTACAGCAAAAGCCAGGAATAGATAGAGGTATTAATATATAAAGATTTGTTGAAAACTTTGACTATTAAAGATTTTGTAGCAGTTGTGACATTAATTCTGGATCAATCCTCGTATATATATATTTGAGAGAATTGCTGGTAAATATTTCAATTAAACACTGCCGAAGATGCAAGTTACAATTGATGAAAAGAGCTTCTCGCACGTCTCTGTGAGAAAAAAATGCCGCTCTCTTGCACTGTCCACTTTGGGAGCTGTGTTTGCTTTTGATAACCAGAATAATGGTGCCATTTAGATCATGCAAGCATTGGTATTAAAGCGGTAAGTTATGACAATCAATGGGATCTAAATAAAACAGAATCGAATCGAAGGATAGCAGGCCTGACTACCTCAAAGCGTAAAGACCGAACCACGCATCAATTCAATTTATAGCTCGTCTAGGATCTAGATGTTTGATCTGTTTTTGAAATAAAAATGTATAATTACATTAAGGGTTTTGACATTTTGCAGAAATTTGGAGGAGATAAAACCCAGTGCAGAGAATGGATGTAAAATGGTCAGTTATAATTTTACGGACCTTTCTGTGTTGGAGTTTTCTGATCACAGTCTTCAAAAGCAGAGGTGAGTGAAGAAGTAGCTGTTTAACTTCTCTATTTTTTGGTTTTATGTTATGAGACAAGCATTTGGTTTATTACCGCATTGGAAAAGGAAGACCCGTGATTTGTAACCTTTGTTGAGATTTCTACATTTCAAGCAAGGTAGATTACTTCAATGTTTTAGCTTTCCACGATGTTATTCGTATTTTACTTTATCTGAATTTGTAACTAATTGTGCTTAGTTTTAGAAGGTTATGAGATAAATCTTTCAATCAAAGATGAGTTTGATATACTTTTTTAAAATGGTTTTTCAAAATCTCCTTCCGTTTTCAAAACCAGAAATGCACCAAAGCTTGTGAACGCTTTCTCCTTCTTTCTTTATTTTTTGGATTTGTTTGACAAATGTGTATTGCTATGCAATGACAACAAGGAAATTAATTTAATGGTTTCCTGTCTGACCAAGTTTCCTTCTAAGACTTGCAAGGAAAGCTTAAAGCAGTTAACGGTTTGACGTCCCAATGGACTGGTTTAAACCTAATTCAGAAATGCTTTGTCCCCAGGCCTCCCTGTACTTCTATATAGAAATACTTGTAATAAAATAAGAAAGTGTCAATTATCTTTCAATTGAATTTTCTATACGCTCATATTTTCTCTCCTCAATATATAATCTGCAAGTTTAAAAGCATTTTCTTTTCGGATCACGTTTACAATTATCATTTTCAATACTTGATTTTCATGTCGAATATAATGTAATGAGATATGCAGATTGGAAGATGAAAATTTAGCAGTTTTCTTGTAAACCTGCAACTTGTAATACTATAACTTGAATTGACACAAGTGCAATAGTGAAAACGGTATGACAAAACCTTTTTTCTTTTTTTTTTTTTCTTTACAGGCTATATTCATGTAAGACAAATTCAAAGTGTATAAGCAATTTTAAAGAAATATGAGAAAAGAAAATTAAAAATTTTGATTTTTCCTACAAAAGCAATGCAAATCAAAGAATTATCAGTGTATGTATACAAAGGTATCCATCAAGTTTTTCATTGCTTACATGCTGTTTAATTGCATTTATTGCATTTAACTTTTCTGGCGTGTCTAACAAAAAAATGTTAAAGCCTTTTTAAAGAATATGCAACAGAACATGTCCAATTGTTCTTAATAGATTATCCTATTAGCAAACTGACTTATTTATATCAGAAGTGTTTGGTTAATTTTTTGTATGTGATAAGGTACATACAAGAAATAATGTGACATACCATTAATATATAGTACATATATGGTACCGTAAAGGTGCATCAGTGATGAAATGTAAATGAAAAAAAAAACAACCTTTTTTCAAATAAGTCCATAAGGCTATTACATTTAAGTTTGGGAAGCTTATTTGAGTTTTGAAACCAACATTTCAATTTTACCTGAAGTCTTGGTAGTAAGCAATCGATTGAAATCATTTAAAAAAAATTACCATTATAAAGTCATAGAAATAGAATGACAAAGTTCTTGTATCACTAGAAATAAATATCATTCGTAGCAATTAACTGGTAATATTTTCTGGAAGAAAGTTAGTGGCATTTAATTACTCGACTTCAAACTGTCAGGTCTATTTTGAAACAACAGGTTGTGCAATTCGACACAAGACAGTTTTCTTTGATGGTCTGTAATATTGATGCCTTCCGCTGCAGGAGAGTCCGTGGCGCTCTCTATCGAGGTTTTCTTATTGAGGCGATTTTGGTTGGTCTTTGCCAATTACAGTCAAACTTATTAAAGAACTCGAAAAGATCAATGGCGAGATTGCATGAACATATTCAATCAAAGGCTGGGTTTCAGCAAGTCTTAAGGGTAAATTATTACTGATATTAACAGGGCCTCTCTGCTGCAAAGCCCGCATGATCACCATTCAACACTCTATAGAAACTCTTTATGTTGAGGTGTGACGCAAATAAACATTTTATGTTAGATTTTTGTACCTTCAACAAACTTTGTTTAATTTATTTCTACTCGATATTAACAACGCATTGGTGGAGTTAAATGGAATCAGTGTTAAATCTGTATACGCAATAAAGGTTTTCAATAATAAACATTTGTGTGATGTTCTTAATGTAGCACCCATGATTGAATGTTGGGATTAATTATAGTTCGGTTGCTGGTTAGGTGCTAAAGTACAAGACAAAAATAAATAAAACCCATAGTTTCTCTCTCGCTTGTATTAATAGATATAATTTGAATAGACGTTCCTCACCTCATGGGGTATATCGTAGTACAGGTGTTGATCCAGGATTTTTTTCAGGGGGTGCCAAAAAAAATCAACCCAGAAATTTGTTGACCAAAAAAAAAAAAAAATGGATAAAAGGAAGAAAGAAAGGAAAGGAAAAAGGGAGAAACAAAAACAAAATGTTAACTCCTAACCCGAACGTGAAAAACTCTTTCGTGTGCGCGAGTGTAGTTGTGAGTGCCAGTGTGTGTGTGTGTGCGGGGGGGGGGGGGGCTTTCCTTCACTTCTTAAGCTTCATATATGTATGAATTATTTTTTTGTCTTCCTACCAAGGGGTCTGAATTTTCCGGAGGGGGGAGGGGCAAGGTCATTTTTAGTTACCTTATTATGTAAATTAATCCCCGCAAAATCAAGTGACTACGAGGGTCGTTCAATAATAATGCAACAAACAGTATATCATAGTAATAATAAATCTATTTATTTTCACTTTTTCACAGTTGAAACGTTCAATTAAAGAGCCCTTAATCACAGAAAACCCCATGATTTTTACTATTGTCCTCGCAAAGAAATTCACTTTTAAAGTATGCATGGTTACTACACTGAGTTGAAAACTGTTTAAAATGATTTCTGCCAAGAAGATGAAAATGAGAGCGGATGTGAAAACTGTGCTGCTTTACATAAATCGCCGAAGAACTCATATTAAAGATATGATTTTTATATGTGGAAAGAAAAGTCTTTAACGCTGTATAGTTTTCAGATTGATTCAGAAATTCAAAAGTAAAAAAGGAGAGTTAAAATATGAAAGTCAAACTGGTCGATTGAAATTTATAGGACACCAAACGTTATCGATGCTATATGCAACATGATATCTGAAAATGTCAGTCCAAAAACATTGCTAGAACACTAAACATTTCATCGTAATAACATTTAATAGAATTCTGAAAACAGAAATGAATATAGTAATATTTCTATCAGATATGTGCCTTATTTTCTTAACATTGTCTGAGAGAAAAATAAAATGAAATGTGTCAACGGTCTATTTATAAACAAATATTTTAACAAAATTGAAGACTTGTGAAATTTGCGTGATGGATGACGAAACATGGGTCCCATTTTTATAGCCAAAAAGGAAGATTAATAATAAGATATGGAATCAAAGAAAAAGCTATCATCCTTATTATTGTAAAGAGAAACAAGGGCTCCAAGCATGTTTCATTAGTTTTCATTTTTTCAAGAGGTCCAGTAAAACATGTACATACACCCAAAGAAAGGACCATCAATGGTAACTTTTATGTTCAAATTGCGCTGAAGAAAGGTAGACAGATTTCCTACAAAGGAAGTCCAAATACCGCACCCAGGGTAATTTTCCTGCACCTTGCAACGCTGCTGCAAATAAGCACAGAGAAATAAATAAAATTCTGAAGAAAAGAAAGTTTACAGAGCTTCGCCATCCTCCATATTCGCTAGATCTCAGCCATTGTGAGATATTTTTATTCCAAAAATGCATGAAAACAATCAAAGGAAGATTGTACAATATTAGATATGTCATGGAAAGTGATATTCATCGGTGTCTTTGGGGCATCCCTAAAGATGGGTATGCTGAGGTTTTCTGGTCAAGGGTATACAAAGACTTAAGGTCAAAATCTAGTAAATGAGTTTAGACTGTCTTGTTGGTGCTAGATTCATTATGACGTCCTTATTGATTTAAACTTACTTTTCCCCGTACTTTTTAGGCATTAACAGAATTATGCAGAAAATGGCGCATTTTCTTGGAATTCAATTTGTAATCATGTCAAAAGGAACCCCGATACGTATATTCAATTTAATATCATTTTAAAAAAGAGGTCAAGAAGATATGAAAAACCGTTTTCTGAGAGACTGTAGGCAATATTGATACATTTTCTTTGTCTGAGATGGAGAAAACTCTCATTTTTATACCTGATTTTCTCTATTTTTCATTGAAAAGGGCAGTTTAAAAAATGTTTTTTTGTTGATTTTATCTAAAAGTTATGTCCCGATACACCTTAATTTATTAAGCTATAATTGTAATTGATTATTAAAGGAATTTGTGTCTCAAATTTGGAAAACCTGTAGGCACTCTTCATTTACTAGATCTTGACCTTAATACATGTGTAAAGGATAACAGGGAATGCTTTGAGGGATTGAAAATCTTTAGAATATGTATAACGTACCTTTCTAACTTTTAGATGACCTATTGCATTATCTATTGAACGACCCCTCGTAGATCCGCGTATGCAGTAAGAAAAAAAAATGATTTTCCTTTATCATTTATATACTCTTAAAATCAAGATCAATTATTATTAATTACTAGATGATAATAATATGTCTACTTTCTTTCGCCTTTTTGTGTCGTCATGAATTGCGCGTCCTGTTAAAACTCTAAGGATCATCTTTATGAACTTGAAAATATGCATGTTTTTGAGCAATAGATCATCAGTAGACAATTACATGGTCCAAAAAAGATTTTAAAAAACCCGGGAAGTTTGAGAGTATATGGTTTATGTTTTTTTTTTTTATCAAATTTGAATTGCATCGAGATGAAAATGCGCAGCAGAAACATAAAGGAGCAAAGATCATGACAGAAAGGCATATTTTGTACTTCCCGGGAGCGTCTTTTTTTGTCCTTTTAAGGTGTATTGAAGAGTGATGTTTGTCTTCAAATTCAACCTGTTTATATACATATGGGCCATAGACCTCCATGTTTTGTTCAAAAAGGTGAATATCTTGTTAACAATTGATTTGTAATATTCAGGTGTAAATTGATTCTACATCTATGCATATACATATATGTA